TATTTTCAACTTTTTAGTTCGATGTTCTTCAAAAGCGTATTTTTTAGTTTTTTTTAAACTATGTATATTTATTCTGGAACACGAAAGTAATCACCCATAAAGGATTTCTCCTGAGCATGGAATGGTAAACTTTGAACAAATTGTGTTTTCTATAAATGGGTCCATATTTTGATATTTTCATTTTGTAAACATATGAGCAAAATTAAATTTAAATAATCGTGAATAATTTCAGCCAAATGTAAATTATTTGTTGCGTGGTAGTTGTTTCCTAGATGATTTCTTAATATTTTCTTCTCTATTAATGTCCGCTGTTGATGTCTGCCCTCTTTTATGATAATTTATAGGTAGTTCAATAGAGTTCGTTTGTTCTGGAGTTTGCTCCGTATTTGTTCCTTCTTTAGTTATAGGATCTGTCTCACTCTCCACGTTGAATTCATCACCTGCTTCCCTTTGCTCTCCTTGGACAAGATCTCGGTAACTGAAGCCTACTTCTTCAATGAACAATATTTAATGGAATATGTGTGCCTTTTTGTTTTCGTTCCTAGCTCCTACTAAATATTTATTCAACAATTTTCTTTCTGCTCTTTCTTCTTCAGATAAGTCTTCAACAATAAACAATTTTACCAGTATGACTTTAGAGTGTTTTTTCGTAAGTTTTTGTCCAGTTAGCTGCGTTTCCAAATTGGTATTGAGCAACTCTCAAATCGAAGTAAACTTCTTTAGATCCTGTTCTGCGTATACAGAACTGAATATTATTTTCTCTCACTGTTTTTTCAAGTATTTTATTTTTAGTTTTTAAGTCATCAACCTCTTCGTCTAATTTTTCCAACTTTTTCGCATTTACTTAGTATTTTTGAGGCCTGTGATTTGTGCTGACAAATTTTCCCACAGAATCTTATTCTGCTCAGCTATGAATGAATTTGGAAATAAATTCGTTAAATTGACCACAGACTGTATCTGAGGAATTTGGTATCTCTATGTTGATAAAAGGTAGATTCACCTTGTGATTTTCACTCTTGGCTTTTCGTAATGTTATTTTAAAGTTTTTTGAAGAACTTTTAGTCATTTCAGACGGGTTTTTTACACGGAGCACGAGAATTGAACTTAACCATTCCAAAACTTCACTGTATCCACTGTATTTGTCATAGTTTTCAGCTTCGGGGCTTGGTAGACAGGGTCTAACCAGCGAAACTTTTAAAGTGGAAAAAAATAATAATATGTACCTATATTATTCGAGAGAGTTATATAGTGAATAAAATAAAAAGTGAATAAAAACAAACATGTCAGGTGTGAGAAGTATATACAGAAATTTNTAGTTACAAATATAAGTGATAAAAAATAGAAATTTTCATTTCTCACGTAGTAACGACTTCATCCATCATTTTATTGAAATCAAGAAATTACATATATGTTCATCTAGGTAAGGTTAGAAACTTCTCAGAATTCTATCTTTCTCGAAGGTGTCAAGATTTTCAATTATTTAATCTCAGAAATTAAAGACACAGACCATTTTCAAAAAATGTTAAATGCAATACGACTCATCGTTTATTTTATGATTATGATGGATTTCAGAATACTGTCTCTCAGGACATGTTTTGCTAACCAAGTTTGCAGTCAAGTTTTCGGTCATCTCCTGATGATACTTACTTGTTTAGTGAAACATGTGCCAAAAGAGAATATATTTACTGCTAGTAAAATACATACATTCAAGGAAATAGTTTCAATGTGATATAGTATTATTATTAGACAAAACGAAATTATTTACCTGTATTGGAACTAGCCATCGTAGGGATCAATTCCTTTTCCAATTTTTGCATATATAACAAACTCAAATCTGACGCTAAGTCAAATGATTTAGACATCTCTTCATATCTCTCAGCTTTTTTAAATTTACTTGAGGTTGTATCATCCTTTTGAAGACAAAGTGCTTTGAGAGCATATGATTCTGCAATTATCTTCAAGCTCCTCCTGAAACACAAAAAACCTTATTGGGTCTAATAAACAAAATAATGAGTTTGATCAATACTTCAACTGGTTGACATAACTGTAGATATTTATATAATTTATTTACTAGCCATGTGCCCCATTTTCGCATGGCTAGTATCATCAAATCATCATATTTCAACTAATAATCACACCGTACTTTGGTGGTAACCATATGAAAATCTATTCAGTAGTTTTTGAGTTTATTTCGTTCAGAGAGACAGACAGACGTGACAGGAGTACTTTGTTTTATAATATGTAATTAACTTCCACTTAACTTCCATTCAAAAGGGACACATATGAATGAGTCATTTGATATTGACTGTAAAAAAATTGTGAAACACATAAACTTCAGTTGACTCGTGGTCCATACAAACTGTCAACAAGAATCATTCAGGTGGACATGTAAGATATACGTACATATTAGAATTGTTATAGAAATTCATGGACACTGGTAACGTTATAAACAAACAACACAACTGTTCAGGAATAGTCAATAACAAAGGCATAAATAATTCTGAAAAATGTATTGAGGAGAGTTATATACGTATAAGAAAATAAATATTTTGAAATAAAATCTCGAATAATTCATCTCTCTCAATGTACCTACCCAGTTGATTCTGGTAAATACCTGCCGGAAAACAACTACTTTCCTGGCTGATAACATGATGGATATTGAATTATATCCAACAAAAATTCACACAAGATACCTCACAGAGGTAAGTCCTGCAGATGTTTCGCGTTCATCCAGCAGCAGGAGATGCTGAAATCAGTCGAGTGGATCACCTATGTATCGATTTCAAGTTATTACCTCTCGTTACTGCAGAAAAGATCCGACCCAAACAGCAGTAAGTCTGGGACTCGATTAATTTCAGCGCAGGTCGACTGCACGTGTGAAAACTTCATCTAAGAGAAAGATTGTTAACAAGTAACAGGTCTATCTCGTTAACAAAGCCCCAAGTGAGGAAGAAACATCCCATGTCGCAATACTATGACAGAAATCAAAATAATTCTGAATACTGTATCGATGAGAGAAGGTACATACATATAGGAGAATGAATATTTCAAAATTAAATCTCGAAACGTTCATCTCTTCCAATGTACCTACACAGTAGGTTCTGGTAAATGACTGCCGGAAAACAACTACTTTCCCAGCTAATACAACTCACATCATCTACTCTTCCTCATATGTGTACATGTTTAAAGTGTTACATATTTCTATATTTGTATGTATAAATGTGAGTGTATAATTTCAACACATCTTTGTAAGAAAATTAATTTATATTTTTACTTCTATATTTATAAATGATTTTGTCAATAAGACAATATTCCGATAATAAAATGTATTATTAACTGAATGCTTTTTTAAAACCCACTAATAAAAATGCATAAAATTCAATAAAAGAAAATAGGAAAGTTTCAGTATAATTGAGATAATTGAAAGAAAGTACTTACAATGGCAACCTTTTTTCCGTTAAATTCTGGAGATCAGCCATTTTAAAATGTTTTAGTCCTTCAGCATACTGGCCACAAGCATACTGCAGTTTTCCCAGGAGAAGATGTGCATCCATTGCAACTCCAGCCTGAGAACAGAAAGGTGACGTTTCTCATTATTTTGTATTTTTTCAAGTTAAAATGGATATTGGATTCATTTAGCTAGCCTCATAAGCAGATGAAGCTATAGGCAGAGCCTTTACACATTTCTAACAGGGAAATTGAAAAACTTATGAATATGAATAAAATATATTTTATTTATCTCAATTCAACTTGAGATATTTAAATTAAGATGGCGTCTTCAACACCTNCAACGAGGGCGTAATACACCGTTCTGGCAGTTTTGATTCCCAAATTTATTGAAGTTACTCTTACTGCATAACATCCAGAACAAATTTTACTTTTAAGTTGTTTAATATGCTCAATAAATTTGAGCTTGTTGTCAATGTGAATACCTAGAAATTTAGATTGAGTCTCGTTCCTGATCACTAAGTTATCACCGAATGACAGGTCATCAAGAGCACATCTTAATGATAAAATGTTTGTTTTAGTGATATTGAAGGATAGCACATTAGCATCACACCACTCCTTGATTGTTTTCATATCAGTAGATTACTGCATTGTGTAAATCATTTGAGTTTTTGTTATTCCACAATATCGTCGTGTCATCAGCGAAAAGAGTGAAATTTCCTGAAATGCTCAAATTTGCAATATCATTGACATATGATAAGAATAAGATGGGTCCCAAAACTGATCCTTGTGGAACACCACACAAAATTTCCCTTTTTTTTTTCTAAAAGTCCTGTTGTTCTTACCATTTGACTCCTTCCTGAAAGGTAAGATTCAAACCATTTGAGCGTCATTTCTCTACAGCCGTATTGGTGAATTTTTCTTAGCAAGATCTTATGATCAACGCAATCAAACGCCGTAAAAAGATCACAAAACACCGCAGCTGCTACACTAACAGAATTAAACTTGGAGTAAATATTATAAAGAAACGAAAAGATGGCATCGTGCGTGTTTTTATTGCTTTGAAAACCAAACTGCCTTTCACTTAAAATATTGTGGTGTTTTAGGAAAATTGTCAGACGTATTTTCACAAGTTTTTCGATAACTTTGGCTATAGTTGGAATGAGAGAGATCGGGCGAAGATTCGCGGGATTATCTGAATCTCTACCTTTATATAATGGAAGGACAACGGATATTTTCAGAAAATCAGGAAAATTTCCGTTGTGGATTAGAGATACCAATCTTTGCAGTACCTCAATTGGAATATTTTGAATAATTTTTATGGATTGTTCTAGTAATTCATTAATGCTTGTATCCTACAATGTTAGGTTATCCTCAGTTCTGACATCTTCAAGATTTTTTAAGGGATCGTAAGGTAACCACTATATTCTCGCTAAGATTTTTTGCGATCGAACAGTAATAATCATTGATTTTATCAAGTCTAAGTGATATTCCCACATGTTTCTTTTAATTTTCCCGTAATATCACTGACAGCAGACCATGCTTTTTTCATATTATTAGTCGATTTACCGATTTTGTTATCATAATGGATTTCCTTCGCTCTCTTAATAGTGGATCTATATATTCTGCGGTAGTTATTGAAGAAGTCGTGGAAGTAAAGATTGTCAGTAAATTTTCGTATGATATGCAGTGTACCTAAATTTTTCGAAGAAATTTTCAGTCCTGTTGTAATCCATGGTTTTCTTTTTTTGACTTTGATTTTTTGCATGGGGAATGATTTATTAAATACATTCAATAGCGCGTTGTGAAATGCGAGGAAAGGTTCACTTTGGGACAGCATACCTTCCCGTTAATCTTTAGACAATTCTGATAAAACCTATTGTAATTTGTTCTACTGTAAAGTCTCCCAAACTTAAGTTTACGTGTGTACTTAATGAGTCAAGACGTACAGAACAAGTAATAGCTTCGTGATCTGATAAACCTGATGGTATCACTGAGCATGATACGTTCTGTACATCAAAATTGCTACAAACATAGTCAACAAGAGCTAGAGAATTGGGAAACACGAGTATCTGAATCAACGTGCATATTCAAGTCAAAAGTTAGAAATAAATTTTTGAGTGAGTCTGTGTCTGTCAAATCCTCATTGTTATAATTTATGTTAATCGCCAGTCAATATAGATGAGTTGACAGATAACTCAGATAATAAATAGCTTAGGTTATTGAAAAATATATCTACATCAGCAGAAGGTGAACGGTAAATACATAAAATGTACAGATTATTTTTTTTAGTGTAGCAAACGGAAAACTCAAACGATTTGTCTTCAGACAAGTCTTGGAACTTATCAACTTGAACGAAAGTCAATTCACCAAGAGCTGAATTCCTAATCAATATTACAGTTCCTCCCTGATTAGAACAGTTTCTGGAGTATCTAGATATTACAGTGTAGTCGGGAATGCTTATTGGTTCGAGCTTATTACACCAATGTTCCGTAAGCAAGACTATTGTAGGAAAATTCAAGTCACTTAATAATATAAAAAGTTCATCTAATTTGTTCCCAAGGGACTGAATGTTGAGTAAGACTAAAGTAATAAAGTTAAAATTAGAGAAATGATAACAATTGTTATGTTCTTCAAATGATCTTTATGGATCACAGGAACTCTTAGAACATAGTTTTCTTTCATCATCTAAACTTTTTTTAGTGTCTTCATGCTATTAGAGTAGTGAATCCGGACGAGGAAGGATACATGACGAGATTGTATCCTCTGTAGTGTAAAGAACATCCGAAGCATGCCGTATTTTTCGCCCAAAACCTTAGGAATTACGTACCTTATCTATGGCGGGAAGGCTATATAGCTCCTCCCCAGCCTGTACTTGCTGGCAGGGCTGGACAGCAGAGTTGTATCATATTACCAATGGAGATAATCAGAACACGCAGGGCGCACTACATAATTAGGCCCACGAAGCCACAAGTACTGGCTTGTTTGGATGCAGAGGTTCATAATGTTCCTGAAGAAGATGCTGGAAAATTAACACCACCGTATACAGCGCAGTTCACTCGATTTCAAAATAGGAAAGACGGAATCCAGCGGCCTTGCGGTTTGAAATATTGAATGGCGGGTACACAACATGGAGACTAAGATCACATTGTGATTCAATGTGTGATAGACTATAGGGCAGCCAACAGGCCTTTCACGCCCGCGGTGTGGCAAATATCCGCCAAACTACTTGGAGTGTTCTGCTGACTACCAAATAACACTGGAATAGGATATGAATACTAATGGCTGCTAAAAAGTCACTAGTAAGACTAGCAAGAGGCATCGCGGAAAACCTTAGGTTCTGCAAGAAACGTTCTCACCTATTCCAAGAGCCTCCGCCTATTGTGTGCTCAATGGACTGCACAACCCGATAATCCCAGATGAAGTTTCAAGAGCCCTTGCGACCTCCATGAAATTTACTGCTCCAGGTCCAGATGGGTTGAACACTTATTGGTGGAAAAAACTACCAAGCACCAACTGTCACCTGGCCAGAGTATATAACTCATGGCGGACCGGAGAGCAGCCGATACTGGATGTAAAGAGAACCTGCTCATCGACATATGTGTCATGCAGAACTCGATGTATAAGTATAACTTCCCTATGGCCTGGATCGACTACTGCAAGGCATTTGATACAAAATCGCATGAGCTCATCTTGCATTTGCTCAGATGCCTTACGGTACCCGACAAAATAGTGAGATGGCTTGAACAACTGATACCATTCAGTCGTACTCGCTTCACCGCTTCAACAGGCTAGAGTCCAAATAAGGTGAGTCACTTTCAGAAAAGGTGTATTTCAGGGCATTTCCCTCAGTTCCCTTCTTCACTGTATCTCTCTATGCGGCTACTATCAGTACAAACTCAGACTAATCTGCTCATCGGAACTGTCGGGGAAGAACAAAGTTTCTGCTACGATCGTTTAGAATAGAGAATTGGACTCTAGAGAAGCTGTATCAACTCGATGTGAAGACCCGAAAAATGATGCATCTCCATAGGAGTTTGAATCCCAAATCGTACGTTCTATGGTTGTACTTCCACCGACAACAGGGAGGCAATGGACTTTTGAGTTTGGAGTGTCAACATGACAGAATGGTACTGGATGAAGTCTGTAAAGTAACAATTCATTCCCCACCCTCAGGCTCATACAAGCTGATAAGCCTGATGTAGTTCTTCTCGACCACCAGAGCAAGACGGTATTTGTTGTGGAGTTTTCAGCTCCTGGCGAGACGAATATCGTCTGAAAAGAGGAGGAAAAACGGATATATTATCGAGATTTTCTCTTCTAACTCCACTGACTCTATCCAGACCACTCTATTAAGATGGTTATTTTGATTATTATTGGAGTCCTTGTAGTGATTGTAATGATTTAGCCGAACCAATTCAGAATGCTGTCATTTTTGTCTCACTACGCTTGCTTAGGGTACATGAATCTTGGATCCAATGATCACTCACCCCACGGTTTGGGGAGTGATCTTTGGTTGATAAAGCTGGCCCGCCCTTTCAAATGTATCGGGGTTTCAGGAATAGGGCCCAAACAGTGCAACCTTAGGGCACTTTTACGGTATTGACGAGACACCAGTGTTGCCCTAAGTTTCGGGGAATATTGAATTCATCTTGGGGAATTATAAGTGCCGAATTTATTGGAACTATTTCCCGCCTTCAGGGCCATACAAGCTAATAAGCCTGATGTAGTTCTTTTCAACCAACAGAGGAAGACGATATTTGTCGTGGAGTTTTCAGCTCCTGGTGAGGCGAATATCGTCCGAAAACAGGAGGAAAATGTCAAGATTTTCTCATCGAACTCGTCAGACTCTATTCAGACCACTCTGTTAGGATGGTTGTTCTGATTATTGGTGAAATGATGCCCCCTCTACTCTAGAATGTCAAAATCATTCCAGCCTGATGCACAAAGGAAAAAGCTTGGCCGGACAAATGCAGAAGGCTGCCATTTTTGGCTCAATGCTTCTGCTAAGGGCACATGATTCTCGGACCCGATGATCTCTTACCCCACGGTATGTGAAGTGGTTATTGGTTGATAATTCTGGTGTGCCCTCCTGAATAGTAGTTGAAATGGGCCTAGTTACAGTCTACTACCCTTCAATACAGTCTTATTTTCTGGGTATTCTCAAGCCATCTTGACTGAGCATTTTGGTCTAAGCAATGTTTATCATCTGAATCTCTGTTCAAAAAAATCAAGAATAATGACATTACCTTGTCTTTACATTTTACATGATGAAGATCATGAATTCAATACAGAACTCAAGAATAAACTTTTTTACCAGATTATTAAATCTAAGTCAAAACTTACCCAGCTATATGCCAATCAAATGTTTCCACCAAAATATGTCTAATTTTGATTCATGATTGATACATTTTATACTATGAATCTACTAGTTGGTTTTAATGTCTTGTATTTTTGAAACTCCATATCTCAATAAATATTTATTCTAACGTGTTGTGGTATATACTGATCGATAGAGAATTTTGTAGTCTATACGTTGATTCTGTTACTTTGTTTCAAATTTTTATTATTTGTTCTTTCCAGCTTATTAGTTTATGATGTAAAGCAATTCTTGCCCAATTTTTCTCTACGAATTCCTGAAACGCTACCAAAACAGCCCAAAAAATTAACCAGGCATTTGGCAATGATAGTGACATTCAACGCACTGTTCAACGTTGGTTTGCGAAATTTCATTTCGGAGATTTCAACCTCGTAGCCCAAAGTAGTTGACCTACAGTAATCCAGGACGACGATTTGAGGACCCTGGTATAGAGACTGATCTATCAGCTGAAGAACTGGGCGTCAGCTACCATGCGGTTTTTGGTGGTTTAAAAGGTATTAGAACAGTCAAACGCTCGAAAAATGGGTTGATGTTGCGCAACCAAAACGACCCTTTTTTGGATTGGATTGTCACGTATGATGAAAAGTGGATCCTCTACCACAACATGGGATGTTCAGGATAGTGGTTGAACAATGTTGAGCCACCCAGGCATTTTCTGAAGGCACCTCTACATTTTAAGGTTACATACTAGTAGCATTTAAAAAAAAATCAATTCCGTTTTTTATAGGAAAGTATCAAAGAAGGTGAAATACGATGTGGCAGTGCGGTGATGTGGTGAATAAATACTTGTTATCGAGAGAATCAACTCCTCCTTTATTAGCATTGTAATATTTCATCATTTCGAGTATTTTTGTTTCTGATTCGGTAAATATTTTATCGTGTATTGTTGATAAAAGTATGATTGCCTTGTTTTTTTGTCCGACATGTCAAATAATCGCAGATCCTTCTTGAAATCCGTACAAATTTGATCCAACTTCTTAGAAAACAAGGTGGAACTTCTCTTTTATTTTTTTCTCAATTTACCTACCTAGGTAAGCTTATTTTTCAACAAGATACCTGCTAATTCTACAGAAGAAAACAAGTTGTCTGCAGTGATGTTGTGGCCATGCCGCCATGCCTACACTTGTTGAAAAATTGTCACATTAACCATACCGAACCGTCTGAGAGACTGATTGAAAAGAACTATCATCGATAGCTCAGTAGTACGTCTCACAGATGGCACGTTACCAGTTAAGGGTTAAGTGAATATTTGCTAGGATTTCTCAGCAATGAATATATTACTACCTACTTCTCAAAAATGAATACTTACCCAACCCTGTGAAATGTTCAAAATCAAGTACTATTCAAGTGAGTGAAACCATTTCAGAACTTATTCAACATGTATTCTTTGGACATAAGAATGTTGAAAAAATAAATTAAAGGTCCAAGTTCAACTCTGATATTGGTTTAGCATTGGACAAATAACCTTGACCAACGTTTTTAAATGTTAGTTAACAGGTTTAATAAATAATTAAAATACCTTTATACCAGCTTCTGTTACAACTAAGTTCAGATAACGTTTGGCATCAATTAATCCAAGCTTGGCTCTGTTAGTATTCGCCTCAATTGGTGGAAATTCTTCCAAGTAATTTTCCAGTTTCCCTTCTCCAATTAAGAAGTCTGAGAGACATACTAAATAATAGAAAATTAATTTGTATATTCTAAACTGTTAGAAATAGAGACGTACCAAGCTCCGGTGATTTTTCTTTCAGTTGTTCTGCAAGTTCTATCACTTTTAGCCAATTCGACTCTTCTCTATTTTTTTCTATGTCTACTTCTATCCTGCTAGTCCCCGATTTCAAGCGACCAGTCATTTTGGTTATTTCGTAATATTTATAAACTTCTTTCAAATTTTAGTCAAAATATAAACAAATCATATCCACAATTTTGACAGTCTATGATTTTGACAATATACACCAAAACGTCAAAGTCATTTGTCTTGAAAACGTCATGTCACAAGTATTATGCTAAAAACAGCATTATACTTATGGGCATGTCATCTGTCCAACAGCTGCGCTACAAGTAGCGTGAAGGCGCTTTTTAATACAAGAAGGAAGCGCAATTTTTAAGATCGGGAATAAATGGATGTTGGGAGTTTTTCGTCACTTTAGCGCTGAATTCGAATGAATTATTATTATTCGACATTCAACTTGATCAGTGTATGTCTGTAATTGAATTATTTTCCAAATTAATCTCAAAATCTTCCGAGTGTGAATCTCTTGGTGAAACCTAGATAAACGTTTATTGTCATAAAAGAGCTTTAGCATTACACTGAGAAAAGTTTAAACGAAATGTTCATTCAAAATCTTGACATAATGAAATTAGACGATCATAACAGAACAAATCATTTAGGCCAAAAGCTGTAACAGGTCTTCTACGCTTAAACATAATTAAATAGAATATAAAAAATTATACTGTGAAGAATGGAAGGCTTTGTTAAATAAAAGAGGCAAACATTTCAGTGAGACTGAAAAATATACCACATTACTGAAGTAGATACTTAGCTAATGAATCAATCAAAAATAGAATCTTCGAAGTTGAAATTTCGAAACTAAAGTCTTGATTTCGAGATTAAAGTTGAAATTTCGAATTTTAAAATTGTGATTTCCGACGAACAATTAATAAGAATATGTTATATTCCTGCGCTTCCGTAGATTAACAACTCTTATCAGCCAATATTATGAATTTTAACAAATTAATTCGCTAAAACAATGGAATTAATGTTAAATCGTATTTATATAATCAAAATAAAAACAGCCACTAAATATGTTCGTGTCATTATTTGGCGTATTTAAAAAATGTATGTATCGAATGAACTGTTAATACGTTTTCAATTCATTCTCCTCCAGTATCAAATCAAGATAATCAACTGTTTCAGTTATTCGGATAAACAGTTTCATATTTTCTTCGCGAGACTTCTTCAAGTTTTCTATTTCGTCAATATTAGATAGGAATTTCGATTCTTTCACTACATTATCATCAGCGATTGAAATTTAAATGACAGCAGTTGGTTAACCAGTGTTTTTGGAACAACTTATATCACGTTTCTCTCAATAGTAATTCTAACTGCACTTAAAAATACAACCACTCAATAAAAATTGATATTCGCCGCCAGTTTTATGTGAATTGCTGATAATATACCTACCATACAAATTTAATTACAAAGAAATAAGCAAAAAAAAGAGAAATTTTTATGCAACATTTGGATTCAACTCAACACATATACTATCTAACATTTTCAAGGACGTGCCAAAGATGGTTAAATTTTGGATTTTCAAGGTACTGGATTCAAATCAACACATATATACACCTATAATATTCAAAGTTGGATTTGGGATTTTCAAGGTACTGTTAAAAACCTTAGAAAGCAATCGAATGTTTGGATTGCTTGTTGACCAATAATGTTTAGGTCAAGCTCTTGATTGTTATCAGTCAAGTGGTTAGTAATTTTTTAGAAGCATCTTCAATTGTTGTACGCTGGTGGATGTAAGAACCGCATTCGGCCACCAGCATCTCGAAAATGAAACGAAAGTTTTTCATTATTCTTTGTAATCTAAAAGGTTCATTAAGCAGTTAGTTTTCATTCCAACATTTCAGTTCTGAAATATTGAGAAGTTCCCGCTCTTTTTCTCAGTGTTATGTATAAATCCGTCTCAACTTTAGGCATTATTAACAATCTAACGACAACGCAAACGTGTTAATAACAGATACTGTATTTAAGATGTGACAGTAGATTAGGTAATATGTAGATATATGTCTCAGTTTTGACTCCAAGTACAATGACGCTGTAAAAACTGCTGGGAGATACAAAAAACTCTCTGTACTATAAAATAGAAAATGCTGAATCATTGAACCCGCTAAAAATTGTATCTCTTGGCGGTATCTGGTGGACAAATGGATCGTTATTTCCCTTAGTTACAATTTGACAGAGGACGTTTCTATTGTCACAATATTGTAGTCACTGTTGCCATAGCTACCCCGTACGGGGTAGTTCTACCCCTCTTGAACTCAATTTCACCCTTTCGCTCCCCTCAAGTAAATCTACCCCGCTCAGATATAAAGCAGAAGAATGTAAAATGAAAATTGAAAAAATTAACAAATATTTGAGGTTTGATTTTGAATCTACCGCGTTACACTAGACGAGTACCCGTGGCAAAGTTGGCGTAGACTGAGTGTCTGGCGACGCTGGCGGTGGTTCCTTGGGTTGTGTTTTACTGTAAGACTCTTACACCGATAGTTCCGATATTCTGTGACTGAGTACTGAGTTACACTACAATGCTCCAATGCTTCCAATGCTTCCAATGATACCGAGTACCGTGATCATGCTCTGTGCGTGTGAAATGTTATTTGATGTTTGTGACATGACATTCGACATTTTGAGTTGAGAATTTAAATATGGAAATGTTTATATTATGTGCAATCTCAGTCTGTGATATAAATGTAAGTATATGTATAGTCGAAGTCCACGTGGACTCTAGAGACTTGGCGGTTCGTATTGGATAAATTTTACTAACCGAGTTTTATGATTGGCTGAAGAGTTATAAAATTAAATTTGAAGTCATGTTACGCTGACGAATAGAAATCTGGGAATGCGGCCTTTGGTTATCGCCGTCGTGTTCAGTTCAGGAACTGATCGCGATTTGAGTGTGGAAATGTTGGTGCAGTTATAGTTACTTAAAATTTTTCTTATCTGTTCAAAATGTGACGTCCTTGGACTAGTTCAAATAGTAATAATGAGTGTGTTAACAACGCAGACTTTTTCCAGTGTAGTGATTCCAATAGCGATGGTGAACAATGCGAAAAAGAGATACTAGTGACTAAGATTCGGATGCATTTGAATATTAAAACACAGAGAGTATGTTTCAATGTATATAAGAATATACATCTCAAGTTTGGTTTCGAAGCAAAGAAACTTTTACAAGTAACATCAGATTTGACCGAAATTCCTTTCTCAACCGTACGTAAAATAGTCAAAAACAAACCTAATGAACGCAATACGCGATGTGACACAGGATTACCAAAACCTTTAGATGTTCATCTAATAAAATCATTGAAAAAAACAATATACGACTGTTACAAAAGCAATGAAATTCCTACAACAGAAATCATAAGGAAGAAATAGAATACTTTCAGCCATAACGTGAGCAGCTGCTGTGACAAAACTCTTCAGAATTGGATAAAGAAACTAGAATTTAGATTTAAAATAATGAACATACGTCAAACAGTTATGGAAAGCAGAAGAATAGTGGAATTGCGTAACAAATACTCAGAACAAATAACTAAATATAGACAAGAACAACGGCCAATTTTCTTTTTGGAGGAAACTTGGTATAACACTCACGACACAGTTACGAAAGGGTGGACTGATGGTTCGAGAATGTGTACACCTAACAAGCCTGCAAACAAAGGATCGCGACTAATCATTGTTCATTGCGGAGGAAGTAAAGGATGGGTCCGAATTCTTTGAAGTGATATGGAAAAAACTTGAGGACTGCAATGTTGACTATCATAAGACCATGGAAGCTAATATTTTCGAGGAATGGTTTGGAAACACATCGATCCCAAATTTGGATGCGATGACATGTGACTTATGTTTTTGATTACGATCGTCAAATTGATCATAGAACAAAGAACGACAATCATAGGTATACATCAATGCATCACTGTGATTGGTGTCATCAAGTGAATGTGGATCCACCCTGGTTCTACCCCGCTCCCTTTCAGAAATCTACCTCAATGAAAAGATAGCTTGTGGCAACACTGATTGTAGTATCCGGTGCTTTCTAAGGATTGCTTTCATTAATTTTTAATCAAGAGGTAGAAGTTTGAAGCAATTCTTACAGTATCATTAAATTATTGATAATTGAGCGTTATTGACGTTGATTGCTTTATTATTGATAAATAATCAGGGTTTTAGTCATTTCATAAGATAACCAAAAGTGGCGCTAGTGTTTGGAAAGTTATCCAATTCAAGGCCAAATTGAGTTCAAATTGTATTATCAAATTTGAATATTTACAAAACAGTACATGCGTGTTCCCTATTTTTGGAATAGGGGGTCAAAAATATATGAGCTCCGAATTGTCCTTTATTGCTCTTTTTCAATTACACAAAAACAGTGTTAAAGCTGGCACAAGAGGACCATTTGTCTTCAAGTATTAAGTACCGATTTCCATCAATACCAAAAAAAATCATTTGAATGAATCAGATTATTTAGAAAGTAACATATTCCTTCAAAACAAACACTGCTTCCACACGATGGAACTGCAACACCTTTTTCGATGCACGTCTCATTAAACAACTTGGTGATACTCATCAGGAAGAAATAATATCTTCCAACTCTCTTTACCTATTTATACTTAACTGGGCAAACTTTCGCTTCCAGTCATACTTCAATGGATTTTAGGAGTAAAAATTTGCAAGAAATTTCTCCTGAAAGAAAGTAGTTCATACAAATGTAAACGTAATGTTTGGAGTTGAACCTTTGTTATTGTTCATAATCCTCAAGCTACACTTTATAAGGTATTTCCCGAATTTGAAAAGCATCAATCTATGATGTCATGCTCATTTTATTCTGTAAGGCCGTTATTCAAGGCTTGTTAGACGACAACAGAAATCTCAGTAAATCGATATGTGAAGAGCGTGTTCTTTGAAACGAGTTTTGATAGTTCCTTTATTCTGACCAATGCACTTTTTTTTCAAAAAATTTACTACCTAAATTTACGTTTCCTAATTAACTTTGGTTTGTTTGATTTTCAGTAACATATTATTTGTCGGAGTGAAATAAAATTTGTATCTTCCTGGTTTATCTGGAAATTAATTCTTTTTGAACAAAAAAACGTTTATTTAATTCGGGCTTGGCTAAATTTTTATTTGAAAAACACTATAGGTATTATATTCTTGACGGACTAGACATATTATGGAATAAATAAAATAAAAAAATCAAACAATTAAAAATACCAGTGCTCACATTTCAATTGAAAATTTAGGATTTTGTTTAATTGGAGGGTGTGTGCTGGATCAAAATAGATCATTTACCTGTGGTAGGTAACTGATTATGAAGTAATTTTTTTCCAACAACGAACCTTATTTGACATTATTTGCTCAATAATTATAGAAATCCTACCGAAAATTGATATTTATACGAGATAAATAACAATCTCCTCTTCCCTCTTCCTAACGAAAAAAAATGTGAGAAGTAAAAATACATTCATTACATTAAAAGGGGGTGTGTTTCGCAGTAGGAGTGGTCATGATTTGATCTAGCAGACCTATGTACGCCTTCTTTCGAAATGAGATAATCAATAATATACTTCCAAATATGAAAACAATTCGATTTTTTTGAATTGCCAGGACTTCACTTTCATTTAAATAGAATATCTTGGCAAATTTCAGTCTTTACGCGTTGCGCGTCGCACAAAAATTGGTATACCGCACCCCAACATCAGCAAGAAGCTCAAAGAAGACGCACCGCGCTCAAAGAGCGCGCGAAAGCCTAGTTCGCCGACCATTTGACGCATTGCAGGTAGAAGCCCACCAATCAAAATTCTCCTTCATAGGAGTAGACGGTGTAAACAAGCCGCACCCGATCTGTAAATTTCACATACAATGCGCTACAAAAACTAGATCTGCCGTATAAACTTGTTTTAAAGAGCATTCTTCCAGAACTCGCTTCAATTTTGAAATTTTGGACGGCAGCTGGTTTGGAGTTTTCTCCACAGTAGCTGAAAAAGTTATTAGAAAAAAATATACTTTGCAGTTAGGTGTAGGAATATTATACCGGTTTATGTCATAGCCGCACTATTGCGCTTTGGTGGTTTCGCAGTGGCAAGTTCCCCTCTCCCAAGCAACGTAGTTCCTAAACAAAACGAGAGAAGACAGTTGGCTGGTGCACTTTGGTGAGAGACGTTGTTGGTGATTCCCTTGTGTCGACATATTCTGTTTGGTGTTCTAAATAATCCTAAAATATCACAATGGTAAGCTTTCCTTTATTGCAATCTCTTACGTTATTTTGTTTAGCTCATTTTGTAGTTTGATCAAAATATGATATTTATTGATGTAGTCTAAATATAGCTTGGAATTCACTTATGGATGTTGATAGTTTATGACAACGACCGGTGAATATTTTTGCCGCATTGCGGAATTTCCTTCGTATTGAAACGAAATCTTTTGTAATATCTTTTTAACGAAAAACTTGGAACAAATATCTAATTTTCAACTTTGAGCAAGCTTGTTCTCATATCGATCTGTTGCATATTGGGTGTTTACTTGTCACTAGGTAGGTATATAAATAAAGGTAATTTTCATTTGTAGGCAGACCAACTCACTGAAGAACAAATCGCTGAATTCAAAGAAGCTTTCTCGCTGTTCGATAAAGATGGTGATGGCACAATCACCACCAAAGAATTAGGTACCGTCATGAGATCACTTGGACAGAATCCTACAGAAGCTGAATTACAGGATATGATCAATGAAGTAGATGCTGATGGTGAGTAAATAATTAATTTTGTTCAGCTAACTTTGTTAATTGCATTTTCGCTAGGCTAATTACGGATAATTGGACAGCATTTCATTTTCTGAAATGCTGTCCAAGAAAATGAGTTGAAATTGCGTCGGAGAATTGAGTTTTGTATTTTTCAGTTTCTTGGAAAGAGAAATGAATCTAGATTAGAATTTATCAAGGTTAATGAGTTTAAGTTGTTCCTTTATATAAATAATAAAAAGGGCCTTTGTGGTAGCTGACCCCTTATAGAATTTAAATTTTGTTTTGTAGGCCATAATTTTGAAATGTTTTTGGCTCTATAATCAAATTTTCAGTAAAAACTAAAACAACTTGAAATATTCCTCATATGTATATTGGCAAATATTCGATTTTTCTAAACATTTAAAAAACTCAATATTTTGTGTTGAATACCTATTTGTTAATTCCTCCATAAACCAATTTCTCTTTGATTTTGGCTAATAGCTTATTTTATCATAAACTTTGTTGAATATTATGCTAGCAAAACCAAATAAAAAAAAATTTTTGTTGAAATGTTTTGCTGAAATTAAAATCCTATTAAATTATAATGTGATAGCAAAGATTTTTAGAAGTCACGTTTATTACCTTTACAGAATTAGTTAATATATTCCTTATGAGTACAATTTTTGTAAATATGTATAAGAGATACAAAGAAGCATTGATGACTCAGTGAAATAATAATTGTGTTGGAAAGCTTAAGATCAGGGGTTCAAATATCCTTTAAAGCATATTTTTTCAAATCTTTAGTTTAGAAACTTGGGAAAAAAATTTAAAAGGTAATCCATAACTAACGTATTCCAAAAACACTTTATTGTGAGATTTTCACTAAATTGTTTTACAAAAACGCAACACGTGTTTCGCCATACAATGGCTTCATCTGGCGTGTCTTTCAACTAATTCTACACATTCAATACTAAATATATATATAGTTTATGGAGTACCTGAAATCGGAGTACCTGAAATCAAAGTACCTGTAAACGAAGTACCTGAATTTTAAGTAGCTGATATTTTACCTGAGTTTCTAACGAAATAAATTACCTGCACTTATGTATATCACATAAGCAAACTATTTGAATGGTTTAATATGAGTATAAATTACTCATAATTGTTGGAATCATGTGGCCTACTTATTTAAATTTTAGTGAACTCAAATATTTTTGTCTGCTGATCACAAATCTGAAGTCACAAGGTGACAAAAAGTTCACTTTAGTCAAGTCCAACAAACTACATCATACCTAGTTACTAGTTTTTGAAAATAAATGACATCTTTCCAGGGTTCTCATTTTTGTTGCCATTTTCAATATTAATCAAGAGATTGAATGTGTTATAGTCAAAGTGGTTATAAGAGTTTCAAAAAGATGAGCAATATCACCTTTTTTGCCATTTAAAATATACGTCCTACAGTTAAAAAAAAAACTGAATTAACATGTTGTATCTTGTTTAAATTGAAAGAGTTTATTTTTAGAAAAGATTGATTTTTGGCTTTCTACTTCTATATCGTGATACAAAAAATGTGGGAATCTTTCAAAAATATACTCTTTCAATGAGCCTTTTTCCTGAGAATAGTACAGCAAACGTGTCACGAGAGGCAGCACTAGTAGTAGGGAATGAAATCATTTAAAATAGTGTGAAATTATTCGTATCCAATTTCCCATTTAATGAAGAACTTTTGAAAGACTAATTATTTCATTTTGCCTATGGTAAACACCTCTCTAAAGTTGGGAGATTTTTTGGCATTTTTAATATGAATGTGAGGTTTGTTCAGAAAATAATGGGAATTTCCTTGATAAATAGAATATGAACCTGTGGCGTAAAACAAATCTAAGTTAGTCATCTCCTGATGACGGTAACTTGGTTAACAAAACATGCATCGGGAGACAGTATATTTGTTCCGGTTCGAGAAAAGTATTTTCAATGTAACAGGAATTATTCCTTTTTTGAAAAACTATTTATTCATCAACGTTACTGGTGTTTCCTTCAATATAGTTCCCATTAGATATTATGTACTTATGCTAGCGCTTCTTTCAATTTTCGAAACACTTCACAAACTTGATCTTTGGGATAGGCTGAAGCTCTTTCAGCGATATGCTTTCAATGTCATCTATGCTTGTAAAACCACAGCATTTGAAGGTTCTCTTTATTTTTGGAAATAGGAAAAAGTCATACGGAGTCATGTCTGGCAAATATGAAGACTGGGTCACAGTACTGTTTTTCTCCGAAAATTCACAAACAAACGAATAAGGGAGGAGCATTATTGTGTGGCGAAAGCCACACAATAATGTTCAATTTGACCATAATGCCCCATTTGACTTCGTGGCGATTATTTTTTATGCACTATGTCATTTGAATCAAAGAACACAGTGAGAACAACCTTTTCTGACTGCACTTGTTGACCCTTAGTTTCAATTTCATATCCATAAACACATGTTTCGACACCTGTTATAAGTTGTTTCAGTAATTTTGAAAAAACTATACTGCGCCGCCCATGCCATACAAAGAAACTGCCGACGTGTTCCATAACTATTTAGTTTTTATACCTTTCAAATTGACTTCGTATATACTATACCAGAGACACTGTAAACTATGAATACAGATAATGAAAATTTCATCATACTTCGGTGGCATGAATACCAGCTTAATAAAAAAATTACAATAGCATTCTTCAAACCCATTAAATTTGAAAATTTTCGTTATTTCCTGAACATACTTTTTTTACTTGTAAGAAAGTGCAACTGAATTTCTGGTAATTAAAATACTATTTTTAGAATGAGCACAACATGCTGAATAAAATAAATTATCTTGTGTCATCCTGTACCCTTCATATTAAAACATACAATTGAAAATTTCTCAATGCTGTTTCTTTGGCATTCCCACTTATCGTCGGTTTTGATGAATTCCCTACTTTTCCATCAACTTTTTTCTGGATTTTATGTTTCGGCAAAGTCTCATTTACCATCTTCTGGTGATGTCTGTTTGTTCAAACAAATAACAATATCAATATTTAAACAGTATCAACTGTGATCAAGAAGTTACCAATGATTATATACACACACACATCAGATAATTTTGAATTATTATTGGGACAAATGTGATTTTTAGACCTTGTCTGATGAAAAATGAGAAATGAAACTTTCTTTTTTTTACCACTTCTGTTTGTAATTAACGTTACTGCAGTTTGGTCCTATAAGAACATTTTCAAAAGAATAGTGTATGTTTCCAATTTTTTAACATTCAAGTTAAATAGGTATAAGTACCCAGATAAGGAGTATATCCCTCGATACTTTTAATGTATAAGTTTGAAAATGTCCTTATAGGACGAAACTGCAGTAACGTTAGATACAAATGAAAGTGGTAAAAATATAGAAAGTTTAATTTTTCATGATGATTTCCTACCACGTAGTAACGGCTACATCCATAAATTTACCTTGTCAAATATTTTCATTTTCAATAAGAAATATTACTGACGAGTTGGTAGATCCCTATATGAATATCATTCAAATTTTGAAATATGTTCAGTAATTTGGCTTAGTATTATATTTATTGAAAAAGTTTCTTGAATTCAGAGAAATAAAAAACCCCATTATATTAAGAATAACAAAAAAACCATCACATATATTTCGGCGTCTTACAATTTTTTTTCAAAATTATTCCTTTTACTATAACATAAATATTGTAATATAAAACATTCTTCCCATATAAAATATGCATATTAGTAATATCTTGCCCATTACTTTTCAATATTATTATTATATATCTTACCTTGGAATAATTCTAACATTATGTATATATTGACAATAGTATTAATTAATAGTGATTATTTTGTATGCAACCAGATACAGACATGTAAACTCCAGGGACTAAAAAAATCTTCATTGGGTGGGAAACTTGAAAAATTGTAAATGTAATAATGAAAAAATGTTATACAACAATATTATCTATCATGTTTCTCAAGAAGTATCAAGTACTTTTAATATTATTGAAGGCGTTTGACATGACATGCTGAAAGTTTTGAATATTCCAACACACAAGGCAATTTATTCTTTTCAGCTTGTAAATACATTTTTTATCAGTTTTGTTTATAATAGTGTATGACGTAGGAAGAGATAGTTTGTTTATTGTTTCATTGTGTGTATATATATATTTCATTTGGTATTCAGCTGTGTCTACATAATCCAAGTTCAGCTTGGTTATTCCATCATATTTTCTATCTACTAAAAGTATATTGAGGAAGAGTTCGTTGGATTTGTTTCAGAACTTTTTCCAGTAAAAAAAATTATAAATTAACTAAACCCAATTTAATATTAAAATATCATTAATGTGTTCTATTCAAGGATGTTTTTTAAAGAAAAATGTATCAAAATTCCCCATTTCAAATTTGTTCGAACAAATAAAGGCAAATCTTATCATGTGATATGTTCAACCGGCGATAGCAAACCAATTATGAAGTTTTCATAAATACATCGGTTGGTTATCTATTTTATGAAAGTAGAACATTTGAAGTACAGAACAAAAAGTGAAGGTTGAATCGAAGATATCTCATTCATTTTCAGTGATGGATGTTTATTCAAATGATATATTAATTTATTAGGATGGAGAGTGAAGTGTCAACTATCAAACAAAAATGGTGTACACAAAATTTTTGTTCATTTCACTAACTCACTTTTTTCCTACATTCGACATTTTTTATTTTCATTGCCTAGTTTAATCCATTCCAATTCCAATTTTGCAATAAGAAAACCCGGTTGTTACACAATTAATAGACTATATTGTACAGAGTGGGCCAAATCGGACACTTTTGAAGGAAACCTCCTGTTTTTGAACTAAATAGATGAAAACGGATGGCTGTGTCTGAGGGTCAAATTTTACGACAAACTTAATTGTGAAAACTGCATATCGATATCTATCATCGTTTCTGAGTTACAGCAACATTTCGAAAAATGTGCAATTCCGAAAAGTTGCTGTAACTT